CTACTTGAAGACAGCTTACACTGGTGAGCAAAAGAGTATGTAATCCCAGTTTAAGTGCCATCTTTGTAAAGTTATTGGCACATACTAAGCAGTCAAATGTATAATGTCAAATTACAGAATAAGCCATTACACTAATACAAACACATCCACAAACTTTAAATGGCATCTTGAGTACCTATACAAAAGCTTTACCAAAAAATGGTATGAGATCATGAGGTCCTCAAAAATCAGAATCAAGATTTCTGTGATTCTCAGCCAGGCAAGATTTCCCCCTCTCATCTCGCATGACTGGCTCAGGCTATTTGCCAAAAAATGTTATGAAACAATTCTTCACTAGAAAAACCCAACCCAAAACAAAACAAAACAGGCCAACCACACACATCTATGATGTCAAAGAAAACTTGCAGAACCAGAAGTATGTGTAAATCGATGGCCTAAGGGCAACAAGAGTTCTGCTTCAGGTCTACAGAACTTCTCCAAACAGTATCAATACGCAAACGAGATTTCAAATCTACCAGGCTACATGTTGTTTGCTAACACGCTCTCATATCTTCCTTAGTGCCATTACCTGCAATACCTCCCAAGCAATAAAGCTTGGATGGATATACAATCACAAATTTATTTCAGAATTGCTCTTTGGTGGTGTTTTCAAAACAAGAACTGGATAGCAGATGTAGTAGTAAGTGGCAAGTGGCTGGTAAAGATAACTCACATGAGAAGGTCAAGCAGTGAAAAATCAGACAAAGAAAGAAGACAAGAACAGTCAAAATGTTAGAGGGACACTGAAAGAGCTGTAGAAAGGTTTTATGCAATTAGCAATTCCTTTCACAGACAGGGTAGGAAAAACACACAGAAGACGTATGCCTAACTTCAACTGATGACAAACAACCACCAATTGTTACAGTATTCAGAACAATTTGATTGAAAATAAGGGTTGGCTGGTAATAGCCTCGAAATAAACACTGGTTTTGATACACTGAGATTTCAGAGATAATACATCTAAGAACATTTATACACAATAAAGGAAAAACATATCACCTGCAATGACTATTACACCTAAAGAGCTCAGGTTTTAGCTAGGGTTTGCATTCAACAGCTTAAACTCTAATCCTGAAAGATAAAACAAAATGCTAACAAATTCAAGTCAGTCTTTCAGAAAAGGAAGAACTGAGGAGATGTTTGTTGCAAATTCTGATCCAAGTCAGAGACACATGATGAAAAGTTCAGCATACAGGGATTCTTCAAAAGGCTGACCACATGTTCCATTTTGTGATCTTTTTCCAAGAGTTTCTTACCGAGGTTTCTTTTAACAGAATTTCTAGAAAAGTTGGAAGAAGAGTTTTGAAACAAATGTATGAAGAAAGAGGACTAATTAATAAATTCACAGTGTACTAATACCTCTCTAAAACCATTCCAAAACCAGTTTCTATACGGATGGCAATTTGAGAAGTGTATTGCCATTCAAAACCTTATGTTCCAAAATTGCTTTTTTGTAAAGCAGGTAAAGTTAAAAACTAAAATGTCCTTAATTTTACTCCTACTAAAACACACAGAAACTGCATTCCAGGAATTCCAAATTTTTGATTGCAAATAAAAATTTTTCATTGAATATATACTTGGTGCTACACACAGTGACAGAATTTCAAAAGCAAAGAACAATGACAAATAACTATTGTGGGGATCTCTGTACTCCAGAACTAAGAACTCCCCAAAACTAAGATTTTTATTAAAGAAAAAAGTTTCTTAAATTATTTAAAAAAAAAAAATAAATCTATCATGTCAGAAAGAGGAAGATAATTTGAAAACATATCACACACCAAGGGGAAAAAAAAAACAAAACCAGAAAACATTAAGAAAGAAGGGATACAGTTTTCTCCTCCTTGAAAACTCCATGAATTTTCCAATAGTTGCCCACTGTCACCCAAGGGAAGATGCTCTCAGCATTAGCAACCCCTCACGCTGTGTCTGTTCAAGCTCCTGACTGTGACCTCCTACCAAGAAGAGCTGTCCCAAGGGCTGAAGGAGGACTGCACACACACAGATCCCAAGGGCAGCTCCTGGCCCTCCTGCTGCCACTGGCAAGAACCACAGCTTCCTGCTTCTCAACTCATCAAAGCATCCAACCTTGGCAAACTGATTTATTAAATAACACAGACCTAACAAATCAGTATTTTCTAGAAAGAAGGAAAACATTTTTCCACCGTGTGTGAGAACATCAGAAATGTTGGTAACTATAAACACCTGTAAAACTGCTGCTTTACATCACTGCAAGATCATTCCTTTGCCATCATCTTTTTGAAACAACTGGAACACACAACATATTCTTTCATTCAAGGTCAGAAACAGCAATTAACTGGCACACAGCAAGTTAAACTGGATCATGGAGATGTCCTAACATGAAGGAAACTCAGAATCTTATGAAAAGCCTCAGGGTTTCACACAAAGCAAAGAGCATGAGGCTGTGCACTGGAAGTGGTCAGGAACAATTACTGTATCAAGGTACATTTTTTAGAAGAAAAATTTAATTTGGGGGAAAGGATTTAGTAATGTAACATGATTTCCCCTGTGAACACTCTCTTACTGTTAGAGAGAGAAAGAATTAATTTTACCAAATTCTACCAGCTAAGCAACTATTGTGGTAAAATATTAATCACTCAAATTAGCTATCTCACAAGTACGTTTATTCTCCCTTTCTACATTAAAAAAATGGTTCAAAATTAATTGTCTTTGATTCTGAAGAAAATTCACAGAATTGTGTAAGCTGATCACAAACTGATCTTAAGGAACTACCTTAATAGCTTGCCCTCTGCATGGAAGAGATGATTTATAACCAAAACCTGACACAACTTCCCCAAACGTCTTTTCTGTGTCTAAAAAGTTTACATAAAGTCTCCAGAATGAAAAATAACCCTGGAACAAATACCTTCAAGTAATGCTTCCTCAGCTTTTACTAATCAACAAAAGCTTAAGAAATCTACTCAAAGTATAATCAATACAGAACCTTTTAAGGAAGCAGAGCATATACAGAAATAACAGTTCAACAATACTTAAGAATTAGGTTCAGGTATTAACGTCTGAAAGAGAGGTTTAGACACAAAAGGGTTGGAAATGAAGAATTGAAAATGGTAACAGTTGCCACTAGCAAAAAGATGCTCAGTATTTCTTACCATCTCCCAGAATAGCAGAGCAGCACATAAACTGACAGCCCTGCTGAAATTAGTGCATATTTTGAAACATAAATTACATCTACACCTTGCTGCATTAGGATGGTGGCTCAGAAATAAGCACACAATCCCTCCAGCAGAATTTACTTCAAAGCCTTCCCATCCTTCTGCCTACAGAGCTCAGCAATAGATAAAATTGAGAATGTGGTTTTCATTCATTTCTTCCAGGCACTCTAAAATTCACACATGTACCTCAGAGTGGCTTGAAATCTGGTATGCCATATGGCAGTATACTTGTCATTTCCAGAAATATGTTGAATATGCATTCCAAAGATATAAAGCCCCAATAAAAAAAAAAAATTAAAAAAGAGAAGAAAACAAAACCAAAACTCCTGAAGCCAACAAATTCTGCTCAAACGCCACCAGCTTTATACTATGCACAACTGGAGAGCCTGGGCTTTGATCAGGCTTCAAAGAACCTCTTCATTTGCCCCAGAAAATAAATCTGATGCCTTAGCTTGTGGAGGCTTATTTTCCCACTGTTTTGCAACTCTGTAAAGTTATTTACACTCGCCTTAAGTGAGACTGAAGAAGAAATGATACATCAACATCAATAGTAGATTTATACAAACACATTGCACTTGGGAGCACAAAGTAAATGATTTACAAGCTGCAGAACAGTGAAGAATCAGGATCAAGGATTTTATGGCTATTCCAGTGTGAACCAACTGAAGAAAAAATAATTACTTCTCATTCCTGCATAAAACGTTTAATGGTGCACATGATGAAGTAACATTCCAAAAAAACCAAAAACCCCCCAAACAAAACCCCAAAGAATTAGCAAACAGATTAAAAAAAAAAAACCAAAAAACTGACAAAAGAAATAAGGCTCTCCTGCTGGCTGAAATAATCACACGATCTCCATACTCAGCAAATTAGAGTGAGACTTCCAAAAAAAATTGGCAGAGCTGAACTAAACATCTTGCTGGTGCCAAAGAGAGTGAATCCTGTGCTGTAGGTAGAAATCAACTAATTCGTCCTTCTGCTATCATTTCTACTTTCGAGGGGTGTCTAATTTCCACTATTTGCAATCTGTGATTAAATTACCTTTCTTTTCTCAGAAAGAAAACTCAGACTAGCAAGCTGAAATCAAATAACATTACATGACCACAACGACTTTCCTCCTAGCGTTTTTCTTGCAAAGATGGAATCACTGATATAGAGAAACAGAGAATCATTCTCCTTTTTGCAGGCACACACAGTTCCTCTCTTTAAATCTTGTATTGCATCTTGAAACTAAGTTATCCTAACACACATCCTTTTACCCCAAAGATAAAAATTAACAGGGACTAGAAACTGTTGACAAGACGTGCTTTGCAGGTGATACTATGTTTTTAAACACACAGAGAAATCAAGACAATAATCTTACTCCAGAGGGGTGGATGCTATAATCTGTAACAAACGTCCCATGTGGGTACTCCATAGAGAGACCTGCTATGGAGACAGTGTATGTGTGCTATTTATCCAAGTATGCAGAGGTGACTTGGAAAAAAATGGCAAGGAAATACAGGTGATTCTAATATCAGAGTCCAATCCAGACCTACTGCAACATTTCTATGAATAAAGAAGAAGATAATCAAGAGCATTTCAACTGTATCAGGGAGAGTTTATTTGCAAGCACCTGAAACAACTAACGGCACCATCAACTGGGATGTGTGACACAGCACAGACTCTCTTCCACTACACTAATCCATCAAGTTCATCCCAGACCAGGATCCATTCAGCTGCTGCAGCTGATGAGGGTTTCAGCCATGCAGAGACAAGACTACCACATACCTGCCACTCACATCTCCTAATGATGAGTGTATCTGCTCATTGCTGCTAGAGGCAGTGGGCTTTGAGAAAGCCAGGGCTTTTTCCCCAGGCGTAACAAGCACAGAGCTGCCAGCCGCTGGTGTTGCCATCTAGGGAAGCTATTCCTAGAAAAGCAAGAAAAAGGCGTGGGCTGAGCTGAAAAGACAATGTAGAAACTAAAGCAGGCAGAAGAGTCCTCTGTAATACAAGAGGTGAAGAAAATCCCCATGTCTGCTAAGATTTAGGCTGAAGAGCAGATCTCCCCAACACATTCCACAGTCAAGGGACAGGGTGTTTCAGGTACACTGAGCTTGTGGGTGGGATGAAAAGAAGCTTCCACATGCTACAGCAATATTTTACTGTGCCCAGCAGACAAAGGATGCTAAATTTTCTGAACATTTTAATATTCACTGCAAAGCAGAGTAAAACCAAACAAAACCCTAGAAAATCTGAACTTTACACAACTTTCCATGTATTCTGCAGATGGCATTGAAACCATCTGCTGATGCTGCTGGAACAATTCAAGAATCACCAAGATCTGTGTTTGACAGGTCCAGACCATTACCTACTGAAATGAAAGGAAAACCTGAATTACTTCAGCATGATACATACAGGTGCTCCTGGATAATACAGATTACATTTCTTCTTTAATCATTCTTCCAATAAATGCAGTGTGAAATTCAACTTTTATGGTACTTTTAATTGTAGCTGTAGAAAACAAAAAAGCTGTCAGCTATTGAAGTCTCACACACACCACCATCCTCCCACAGCTATTAGTACACTGACAGAAGAACTAGAGAAACTATTCTCACCCTGGCACACCTAAGATGCCAAAGAGCCAGAATCAATTCTCAACTATGCATACACTTCTTTTAATCATCATTTTTGTCTTCTCATATGTGCTTTTCTTTACAAAGTCCCAAATCCAAACCTCAGAAAAGTAAACTAAACACATTCGTAAGTGGCTTGAGTATCATAACTCGGTTGATTAAATATTTGGAAGAGTTAACCTGGTGACTTTGAAGTGCAGCAGACGACTATTTCAGGGCTTTGTGAGTGGCAACAGACTCCCTGAGGATCTATCAGTAAAGTGGTAACAATCCTTTAGGTAAAGCAAAGCCAAAGGATTCAAGATGGGAAACGAAGCTATAAACAGTAAGAACGCAGAAGTTTACTTCCTGTATGCAAGGTTAGCAAACTATTACAGCTTCAAGATACATGCCAGTCTTTTCCTTTCTTACTTACAGATTTAGCCTTTAAGGTGTCCAGTACACTTTTTCAAGCTCTTGCTGCCTATTTTAATTCTATACTTAAAGATCTTCCTGCATTCCGAGACAATTATTATTTTGCTTTGATGCTTTTTTCCTTGGATGTTTTCCAGATGAAGTTCTAAATTGAAGTTCAGCAGAGAAACGATCAGAGCACTACATTTCAATAACAGAAGCATTGAAAGTGTGGCCTTCAGTATATTAAAATCATTGCTGGAAGCTACATATGAAAATATATTACCCACCTCAAAACCCTCCATTGTTATAATTTGGTCATTTCACACACCAGTGATCAATCTCAGCTGAGCACATTCTGTAAGTCCACACATAATGATAAAAAATTAGACATACTGGAGAAAAATTTAAGTCTTTCCTTTGTGAACAAGTATATTCACCTAGTGATTTTATCCTAAATCACATTTCTACTGCTTCTTGGTATGAAGCTAAACAAGGGGAAGATATACAAATTGTTGGTTACAAGGGTCAATGACTCAGCAACCTGCATTATGTCCACTTTGCAGCAAAAGCTGATAAGCATAAAACAATTACTTTAAAAAACAATCTTGGAAGTATGCCCACATGAAACTTTTTAAAATGTAAATACACATTTAAGGCTACTAACTGTAAATCATATATCCTTTGTCTAACTCTTCCTGAACTCAAGATTTCTATTTTCCAACTCTTTCCTTTACCTGCCCTTCAAATGTGTAAGTTTCAGATCAGTGTTGCATACTAAGTCCTCAGACTCAGCAATTGTCAGTTATTACAGCACATCTAGAAGCTGAAAACCCCAGGCTACATTTCATTTCAGTAGAAAACAACACAGACTTTTCAGAACAGCAATGTCCTGAAGAAATGTTACAAAAGAAGAGAATACCCAGCTATTGGAAAACAGAAAAAACTGAAATAATATTGCTTCCTCCATTCCCCCAACACCCTATGACACTGGGATCCAGTGCTGAACCTCATCACACAATTTTCTCGATAGCATTTCTCCCACATTAAGTTCAGATTTAATTAATCATTCCTAAAACGAAGGAGCAAGCATATACATATCAAGATAGAAAATGAGAATATGATATTGAGCAGAATAACCTGTAAAGCACCCTATACTTTCTCCTATCCTGAGCAGATATAAGCAAACAGACAACCTCATTTCTGTGACTGTGTGCAACTACATATTTAATTGGAACAGAGAGCCAACAAAACACTAACAAAAATATCTTCATCCAAATCCTATTCATAGCTGTTAATTTAATGGAAAGGCTCTTCCTGCATGAAGAATACATGAGTAATAGCCTCCACGGGAACTTTAACAGCACATCGTTAGACAAAGGGCTGCATAACACAGCAGCTGGACACCATTCAGCTACCTGACAGCCCCTGTGCTGCTTGCAAAGAGTGCAAGAACCAGAGGATGTGGATTTCCGAGGCAGTGACTGGTGCTCCCCGGTGCTGCAAAGGGAGCAGAAGGAAGATGGGAAAAGGAGGCAAATTTGGATGCTTTGAAAGAGGTATTAGAGCAAAGGGCTGTGGATGCAAGACTACGTACAATGATCAGTCACACACAGCAGCTGCAGGAAAACAGATTTCTCTGCAAAACAGTGACACACAGTCATTTTAGCCTTTCATAAATTTACAGTACTTCAAATCAATGTCACTGAAAAATCTAGAAAAACAATGCAAAACATTTATTTATTACATTTCTCAATGTAAAAATGTGTCTTCTTATTTAAGGAAAGATATGTATTGACTGACACATGTGGGAGCCCACCCCAATACCCTAACACAATTTCAGAATATATTCATAGAAGAAAGAAGTTAAACATAATTATACAGAAATCTTGTAAGCAAGGGTTCAAGTATATCCTCATTTCAGAAATTTCATCAACTCTACTTCTGTACATCATGTAACTGCAATGTTCCAGTCAAATCTTACCCATTCCCAAATGTGTGTAATCACACTAGACAGAATACATTTTTTCTAGTTTTATCTAATATTTTATTTTCTTTGCTTAAATATTTCTGCCACATGAATGGACTGCAGACAACCCAAAAGCATGCTGTCTCACAATCAAGGCTATCCTAATTATCTACAAAATGGTGCAATGGAAAAGGAGGAGGGAAAAGACAGCAAAGACACAGGTGATCATCAGTTTAGATAGCACAATAATCAAGGTATGCACCAACTAGATCAAACTTTTCTTGAATTAAGTATTTACAGATTCATAAAATAAAATGGTACTTCCCTAAGAAAATCTAAAGGTACATGTACACAACCCCAAAACTATGAATTATATTGATACCACGTGCAAGTATTAATATTGAGGTTCAAAGTTTTGATTGCTGTTGGGTTTTGTGGGGAGTCTTCTTAATATCTAGTAGGTGCCACAATTTTAGAATAACAGTATCAACAATTTAAAAATCCACTGAAATCCAGTTGCTTAACGCCAGGCATCCTGAAAACTAGGCACAGCCCTCACATTCAAAAACGTCTGTGGCAGGAAAACGGCACAGGAACAAGAGCCAAGGGCTGCTACCAGTCAGGTAGGCAACAGGCAGGCAGAGTTGACAAGGTAGTGGCATTGGAAAAATGACCTCCTCCCTAGCACAACTCCACCTTGACTCACCTGCATTCATGACTCACCGACATCAGATTCAGGATTGCTACTTTTGAAGAATGAAGCATTTAGAATTTTACTACCTGCTTAGCAAGCACAGTATAATCTACTAAATACCAAGCTGCTTCAAATGTTATGTACACTCAGTAATGGTATGTATGCCTTTGCTGCAGAAGAGTAAGTCAATGGCCATTAATTCAGATTGCAGTTATGTACGGTATCTTCTTTTAATCACAAGTATATCACTTACATTAACTCAAAGGAATCCAAATGACCAGCTACTTAACCACTAAAATTATCTATCCGGAAAGAAGGAAAAAAAATACCAAAGAACAGACAAATCACAAGGGCATGCTGAAAAGACTTTTATAACAGAACATGGAAATAAGGTCTAGCAGCACCATTAAACAATCTAATACAGTTAAAACATGGGGGGCAAAGCATTTCAAAAGTTATGAATTTCCATTATCTGCATTCATACACTTATTTTCAAACCTTAGTTCCTCTAAACCAGAAATTACAACCCTGAATGTATTTAAGAGCGTTTCTTGCATCACATTTTAGTTTTCCCATTTTTCTCCTGCTTTCATTCATTTTGGTTTTCTGTTTTAAATACTAGGTTTCATGTTTTTAAATAAAACACCAAACTTACAAATTCTTTGTTTCCCTCCTGAGGGACTAACTTCCTTTTCCATCAATTAAACAGGCATTATATCAAGCACCGCCTGATCCACACCTGTTCAATAAACAATCCTATACTACTAGAAGCCACACTGACTTTATGGGACTGCTGGAAAACTAAAGTCATATGCAATGTATAGGCGTAATGTCTGTCTCTAAAAATAAGCTGGCTGTGTGACACTACAGCAGAAGTTCCATAATTCAATATACATGTTGTGACAAGCAAAGAATGTGTAACAAAAAAATAATTGGCCTGCAATGTAACAGTGGTTCTTGTCTTGGAGAAGATGTGCACATGGCTCAGCTTTGTGCTTTGTAAATAAGAGACGTTCACTCCGATAGGACCACTAGTGCCCCTAAGCACATTGCTTGCATTTTCACAGGGCCACAGCAATGGAGGGAGAAGTTGGAATACAAAACAAAGAATGAAACTTTGGCAAAGCTTTGACATTGTGTCTTCCAGAGAGGTGAAAGAAATACCTGAATAAAATAAACATCCAGAATCTCCTGTCAGCAAAACCAGAAAAGATCCTAAAGGAATACAACCAAAAGTATTATTATAAGACAAGACTAACGGAGGAAGACATACATTGTCACAGTAATGACATTACCCAGACTTTAGCAGTTTTCTGCTATAGGAAGTCTACCACATTTCAGTTCATTATGATTCCCCATGCATCCCTTAAGAGCCTCAAAGCTCATAAAAATGATGTGTCATATTTTGATACTTGTGCTAAACACAGGCTTTGTGATTACCAGTGTTTAAACTCAATACAATCCACACAGCCCTTACTAAGATATCAGATTAAATTTCTAATATTCATGAACTAGAATTTTAATATTGAATGCTCAAAATGATTTAGCTCTTTTGATGCAATGGAACATAAGTCCTTTAGTGTCAAGTGGAAGGCAGATCATTTATTATAGCATTAATTATTTGGGATATTAGCATTAATTTCTTTCTCTATTTGAATTAAATGGAATTCAAAACAGTGTGAATTTATGAATAGTCCACAATATAATTATTTCTATATTATCCCTGCAGCACTAGAAGAAAGACTGCCTACAGACCTGAAAATGTAAAGGAAGGAGACTGATCATCAATTTTTCTTTTCATCTTTTTTCTGAAAGACAGGGAAGGTAAAGCTCAGGATGTTTATACTCTAAATGGCTTCATTCTTTTTTTGATGTAAAAATACCTGTCTTTATACCTATAAATGCCACCTACATTTTTTGCATTCAACAAGCAATGATTAAAGGAAAGCACAATTGAACAAGATACACCATAACCAACTTCTTTTATGACTGGAACAAAAGCATTCTTAATTAAAACCACAAAGCTGAAAAAATAGCATTTTTCCCAGTGAGTATTGAAATTTCGTAAAAGTCCCTGCTATCTCTTAACTTACATTTCCAAAGTTGCTACACAGACAGAATTCCAAGCTCTGGTAGGAAGGACTAATTAAAGATACAAATATGGTACCTTCTTCCCAGCACCTAAGTGGTACCAGTTATCATTTCACTTATATTACAGGTACAGCCAGACAGTACTGCTAACAAAAGCAATTCATAACTATAAAAAAATAAATACACCACCATGCATGAAAAACTGCTGTCTGCAGGTAATTTGGGTCACTTACCAGAGCACTTGATACTGACAGACTGTAACCCAGCTTAACATTCCAATACAAAACACACAAAAATCAGCATTTATAGGGTTTTACCCAACTTACAGGACTTCTTCAGTCCAGTTAAACTAGAAACACCTGGCCAACTGAGATTGCAACCTTACAAATAAACAACAGCCAAGCCTATAAATAAACCGAATAAGCCATCTGTGCCACTGACTGCCCCTGTCTGCAGCCCATCTACACAGGTGTCAGCTCCTGGCCCTGCACTCTACAGCTGAACTACCATGGAGTGTGTGTACCATCACTGACTGACAGCACTAAGACAAAATGAAAAAAAAAAAATCAGTGACCAGAGTGCTTGTTTCCAACCTAACAAATACTCAAAACCTATCCTTCTGGTTTTGCTGAAATTTTTACTAAAAATACTGAAGGCATTTAAAACACATGCATCTTTAAAGTGACAGTAGAAAAGAAAAAAAAGGTAGTTGGACTTCATCCTATCTAGCAAACAAATTTTCAATCTAAAATTATCAACTGAATTTTCAACCAACATTAAATCTATTTAAAATGAAAACTCAAAGGATACTTGTAAAAACAAACTGAAAAACTCAAGAAAAAGCCTAAAGTAAATTTTGCTAAGTCAGGTGGCAGTGTGCATTTGCAGCAGCCCAGTCTTCTGTGGTGGAATCCAGAATCCTTGACATGCCATCATTCAAGATCTGTCAAATTTGATAACATTCTGTGTGTATCTGGAAGGACACCATCCATTCAGGGAAATGAATGTGTCATTTGTTGTCATGACAGCTATCAAAATTCAGCCCAAGAGCATATCATAGAGCCACGTATCTCTCCTTCTGCATTAAAAGGTTGAAAAATACTTTCTTTGTTGTCATACAAAACATCATTAGGATGTCAACTAAGAAGTCAGCTCCTCTGAAATAGCAGTGGCCCAGGATGGCACTGGGAGCCAAGTCCAACACACAACGGATGTGGGAGAAAACAAATGTGATGGATACACTGCTATTGTAAGAACAGGAAGGAAAAACCTTGCAGCCATGGTATGCT